CACTTTGTTTTGAACTCCTATCTAATGATACTTTTTAAGAATTTTTGTTTCTTCTTGTCACAAGATATGGTTACATGAGTGTGTCTTCCTATCCTTTATGTTGTTCAAATTATGTTAGACTTAAATGATTTAATAAAAACTTGTTTAACATTATACATATAAATACTATATGTCTGCAATATCTGCTATTTGAGCGTCACAATCCTTATGTGACAATGATGTTCAAAAAAATTCATATAGATTTTATGATACATCGTCTACAATGGTCAATTATAAAAAATATTCAACAAATTTAGATTAATAAAAAAATCTTAACATTTTTGAAATAAAATCTTATAAATAATTAAAAAATCAATAAAATATTTTAAAATTTCAAAATTTGTTGAAATATATCAAATTATTGATTTTAATATTTTTTGTAAAGTTAAAGCTGATATTTGTAGTAAATAATACTAATCAAACATAATTTTTGCTTTCAATATTATTTTATTCAATAATAATAAGAAATGAAAATTCTAATTAAATTTTTTTATTTAAAAATTCATTAAAAGAATTAACTTTACAAAAATTTATAAATTTTAGTATTCAAATCACTTAAAAACAATCTCATGCAATAATTTTTAATAATAAATTTTTTAAATAAATATTTTTTATCTTCATGCAACAAATATTAAATATATTTTAGTTTTGATTTGGTGTATGCTTTAATGTATATATTTTTGTATAAAAAAATTTATAAGCACAATAATTCAGTTCATTTATTTCCTGATTTCAGTAATTTTTTAATTTTATTTAAAATCATATTGTTATTATTTATGAACAATAAAATATTTATATATTTTTTCATTTTTTCATGTACTTAAATTTATTATTAAATTTTCATTTTAATTATTTTAAATAACATTATTTTAGTAAAAAATGTTAGTTTTTGGTTCATTAAAGTTAAATATTAGAAAATTAATATCAAACGTTTACATTCGATTATTATCTCCACGCAAATTGTTTGGATAACGTCGAGCACTTATGCCACACCGGGACAGCCATTGGATGTTGCGCAAAATGATATCAACTCATGGACAATATTGTCCGGAACATATTTGATGGCCGCCTCCTTTGACTTATGCTCCAATTTAATTATTATCAATTGCATTTTGCATAGACTAGTCTAGACAACTAGTCTATAGTCCTTACTCGTCAATTTATGCAATAATTAAAGTTTAAGTGTTTGACTAAACTGTAAAGCAGCATCAAGCCCTCATCTCACTCCCCTTCCCACTCACCCTCCCCCTCGCCCTTGAGTCCCTTTGTCCTCTTCCCTCCAATCGCAGCCCCGAGTCTCACAGACATCTCGCGAGCTCGACGCCAAGACGGATACCATACGCCGAAGCAGTGATTAATTTGGATGTTTTTTGGTTTAAATTTTCATTTTCATTTTTTTGTTTACGTTATGAGTTTTTTCTTAATATCAAATGAATGTGTTTGAATATGCTGATGCTTCAAACCAAATCATTTCCATAGCTATACTTAAATTTCAATAATAAAATATTAACTCAAAATTTAGAATTTTCTAGGGAATCTTTTATTTTGTTTCAAACGTAGATTTCATCTTATTGAAATTAATTTAAATTTTATCAAATAAAATAATTATTTGAATTCTTTTAATATATAAATGCAATACCATCAAATATGTATTTTTCTAATTTCAATTAAAAACATTGCAATTCAATCTAAAACTCATTGGTGACGATTTTCAAAGCTAAATATGAAATAATAGCAATTTTTTTGGAAAAATAGTGATCATAATGAAATTAATTTACATGATGTTAACTGACGTACTTAGATAACATCATAGTAAAACCATACGCTGATAAATTTAAATCTTATGAGGTTGTATATTAGCTTGCTTTTATCTAATTAATTAATATATTTAAAAATTTAAGAAATTATTTTTAAAAATAATTTGTAAAGAAATAAAAAAACACATATATATATTAAAGAATAAAATATTGCATTAATCAGTTTTTAATATAATCTTACAATTAAGATAAATTCTATATGAATTTAGGTAAGATAAACAAATACATTATTTTTTTTAGAAAAAAAATATTTTATGGTCTTAGATGTAAAAAAAATAATCTCATGAATAGAAACATGTTAAATTTATATATAAATCATATAATTATCACATTTATGAGAAAAAATTGATCTTTTGAGGTTATAATATATTTTTTGATCTTAAAGACATATATCTTCATGTTTGTTTGTAGAATCTATATAGAGTTTTTAAAAAAATTTGCAGTTTTTAAACATACTTCTTGTGATATATTTGATGCTAAAATTTTGGTGTGCAATTTTTGCTTAGTATTCTGCAATTTGGTATCAAATGAAAATCAAATGAAAATTTAAACAAAAAATTTTAAAATGTTGATTATTTGAGAGGTAAAAATGATCTATTTATAAATTCTGTATTCAATGTATATTTTACAAGCATTGATGTGTATTTAAAATTGCAATTTTGACTTTAGGTCAATATTAATTTTAATTAAAAAAATCTGTTAATTTAGCATGAGGTTTTGAATCAACACTATTGGTTCCCAAAGCATGGTAGTGACTGTGGAAAAACAACATGATATATTTTGTTTATTGTGCATTTAATTAGTTACAGACTAATACTTTACATGAGATGAATTTCAAACTGCTAAAAAATCAATAGTTATATATTTTTAGACATGAAACTTGTCATTATCTTTTATATCAATCCCATTCAAGTATTTTTTTGAAAAAATAGTTAAAATATGGTATTAAATATTTTATAGATTATGTTAATTTATTTGAAGTATGAATAAGAGATTTTTTAAGTTTTTAAAATTAATTTTTTATTGAAAAGATTCATTTAATTTATACATGTAATAAAAATATGTGAATTTCCACTTATAACTTCAAGATTTCATTTTTGCAGAAAATGTACTTAAACTTTCTTTGAAATAAACACAATTAGAATTACACATTATCTTAGTTCAATAAGACTTGGAAACACTACAGTAAAGAAGAAATCAACTCAACCTATCATAATAGAAATAAAATGTTTCATTAATACAAACTTTCAAAATAATAGCCAATAAATTTATTCCTTGTAATACATTAAAATAATAATACATTAAAACAGTCACTTAAATTCGTGCTTTTTGGGAATTTCCGGATTTGATTAGAAGAAAGTCCTGTTCATTCGGGAGAATGGTAACATCTCTTAGTAAGGTTCATCTTACAAGGCTAATTAAGTGTAAAGAGTCAAGCTACTGTGAACTGAGTAATTTTGCTCGAGTTAGCTCTAGCAAGAGTCCCGCGGTTGGTCGACGTTCTCGTGAAACTCTTCGTAAGCCGCCACTTACACAAGCCCTAAGTCTAAGTTCGCGCTTTGACGGAAGTTTGAACTGGAATCTCGGTAATCAGTACAGCGACTCAGAGCCGGACAGATCGCGATCTAGATCCGCTGCTTTGTTCGTGTTTGTGGACTAGAGTAGGCGGTACCTTTTGTCCCAACCTTTGTCTCGGAGCCCGAATTATCAAGCCTTTAAATTAAATTGCACTAGCGTCATTCAAGGAGCCACAGGTGTCGGGCCGAAGAAGCACTGGTGATTTTTTTCTTTACGTACAGGTCGTTTTCGTTCGACGTAAGTGTGATGAGACCACTCGGAGAAAGAGTTGAACTGCAAATATTTACATGGAGATGGCGTAGTATACAATGGATCAGTACGTGATTCATGGCCTATCAATGATAGAGAATGTTAATGGATAAGCCATGAAGTACTTGCACATATTTCCGGAGAGCAAGAGACCCGGCCAATCTGAGCCTACCGCTTTACGACCATCCGGCTAATAATCGCCGCGGCGGTCCTTTACGGTAATCTGGGGATTTGGCCACGTACGGCACCCTCTCAAAAGGTCTCCGATCCATCAACATGCAGCGTGAGAAACGTCGTCTCATTCCCAGGACGCAACGCGGGAACCCGTTCAAGTGCCTCCCCGGTGTGTGCAGTAATGTACGTGGAGGCCGGGACCCACCACCGGGCTAGAGCCTCATGACTTCGGAGGGTCGTCAAGTCTCCGCTAACTTCCCTCAATACGAGGCTAACGATGACTAGCTGGACTTCTTAGCAGATAGAGGCGCCGCTTATATATATATATTTATTATAAATATATACAAAATACAGTCTTTTAAATAAATTCATTTCTTTTGTGTTTTTATAAAACCTATTGGGGTAAGAAAAATTTAATGAAAAAAAATTTATTAATAAGGTAAATTTTGTTACATAAAGACCGCTACATTCACCGCCGGCATGGGCTTCGCCACCATCCGGAGGATTCGCCTGGCGAGATGCAATCGACGACCGAGAACTCGTCCGATGGTTCTCGTGCATGCAGGAAGCCGATCCTGGACCGTCGATGCGGAGAAAGCTGTTGATCCGGGTCGGGTAGATCTTTCGGAATGTGACGCTCGATACAGGAACGAGTAGCAAGGACATCTGGAGGCAGATCCGAAACGACTCGTTCTTCTAGCACGAGCGTGAAAAAACTAGGGCGAGCATCTGTCAGGAATCACGGGTCCTGACACGTCGGATGACGTTGGCGCAGAAAGGCTCGTGATGGTGGCCTGCGGCTCTGATCGCCGCTCGCCGATCGTCTCTCGGCCGAAGCGAAGGGAATGTAATGGCGCACAACGACAGTCTCACGCATCCGGGCACGAAGTTTGGGCGCTGCCAGCGACGACCGTAGGCAGCAGAGTTGCCATCGGTACAGGAATGGTATATATCTTCGCTGACAGCGGGCTCGCCTCTCCCCTGTTCTACCGCACACCTTCCAGGGTTCGAACCGGTGACCGAACTCCGGTTGTGGCCTCCCTCTCCCTCCGACCTTTCGCCTTTGAGCTTCGGCGATTTCGCAGTGCGTGAAGACTGACAAGACTGTCGAGCCGAGAGTAGCTCGAGCCTCGACTCTGAGCTATACTCGCTCGCTGAGCTGAGCCTTCTCGGGCTGCGGGAACTGGACTGGCTCTCAGGATTAGGCACTCCAGTGGGCCTACGCACACCTTGAATGCAGCTCTAGCTTCTCGGGGCTGTGAGGGTCTTTAAACGAGCTCCCTCGTCATAGGTCGCGGTGGCGGCTGGACAGTACTTGTTCGATTGGCAGTTCGATAATTGGCATTACGCTTGTGAGCCCGGGCCTCCTCGAGCTCGTAGATGTGTGCTTAGGTATTGACCGTCGCGGGTTGAACGCCTAGTTTTCGCTGGTTCTATCGTTCCGGACGATAGTGCTGGCTGCGTGAGTCTGAGCACGACGCACAGAGCGCTCTTCTTTGTGAGCCGCAATTCGGTCACGCTTCCGCGAGCGCGCATTCGCTCCGAGCAATAGTAGCATTCTTGGGTCGTTACGTCGCGGCGAGGATCGCTTGGATTTCAGCTCGTGTCTAGCGCTCGAATGCGGAGTTTGAACATCCGCTGTACCGACCAGAGCCGGTCCATCTGCTGAAAGTTGGCCGGATCAAGACTCGAGGCGGTCCGAGTTACAGCAGCGAGTCCCGTTGTTTGCGTGATCCCAGCGCAGCCGCCATAACATCCCTTGACCAAAGCCGTGGAGTCTGACTCTCATGGGCGGGCCAAGGCTATAAATTCATTCGGCTCCTCTCCGAAGAACTCGTTCCCATTTCCGAAGTCGAGAGCATTGCATTTTGTGTGCCTGTCTGATCCGACATTCTATTTCCAAGTCGACACTGCTGTTTCACTGCTGCTGCTTCACTGCCTTACATCTCCTGCTTCGTATCTGATCGTGTGCTGCGCCGTCGAGTCGTCGGGTCGAGTGGAGATTGCGTCCCGGGATGTCGCGTTGGAGGAAGAGCGCGTTGACCCATCGTGACTCATGCAGACGCCGCATCCTGCCGAATGTCGTGCTGATTACAGCGATTCTTTGCTGCTGCTGTCTTTTCGGAGTGGGAGCTCAGGAGTATGGAAGCACGGATGCAGGGGAGCTGGAGGCTTTGTTCGATGTGTTGGGCGGAATCAGCCCGGACACGAATTGGAGGGACCAGCTCCCGGATCCTTGTAATAGTTGGCAGCAGGGCATCTACTGCTTAGCCGACAATGATACCGGAGAGCTTCACGTGACGAACTTGGAGTTCGGGGTTTTGTCCGACTACATCGACGTTATTCCCTGCTCTGGGCACGCCAGCCTCCATCCGTCTATCGGCAAGTTGCCCTTCCTCCAATCGCTCCAGATCTTCAGCTGCTTCACCAGTCAGTCGGCCTCCATTCCAGAAGAAATTGGGATGTTGCAGGACTTGCAAATTCTCACATTTCAGGATAACCCGGAGCTTCGAGGCACTCTTCCACTGTCTTTGGGCAACTTGACGAACTTGCAAAGGTTGTCCGTAACCGAGACTGGTATGGAAGGGACTATACCCTCGGAGATCGGGAGCCTCGTCAATCTTCGACAGCTCGATCTGAGCAGGAACCAGCTGCAGGGTTTCATTCCCGAGTCATTGAACTCTTTGGGGAGCTTACAGATAATGGATTTCGGTGGCAATTTTCTGTCTGGCGTGTTGCCTTTCCTGGGCGGACTGAGAAGCGTTGTGAAGATGGTGCTCAGTAACAACCTTTTGAATGGCAGCATTCCCAGCGACATGGGTCAGTTGACAACTCTGACCTACCTGGACTTGAGTTACAACAATCTCACAGGAGGGATACCGTCCTCCTTCGCTAATCTGACGAACTTGGAGAATCTCTTTCTGGAACACAACGATATGGGAACCTCGCTTCCCTCCTTCCTTGGCTCCATGCCCGCCCTCTCCCGACTGACCCTCGCGCAGTCCAATTACGTGGGAGAGATTCCCCCAGCGTTCGGGAACCTGACTAATCTTCGAGTTTTGGTGCTGAAGGATAATCTGCTCTCGGGGGTCATCCCTGCAGCTCTCGGTGCCCTTCCGAACATTTACCATCTGGACCTGAGCAGGAACAATCTCACCGGACCTGTTCCATTTTCCCTCGGATTTGTGGAGAAAATGGGTAGCAACCTGATCATTCTGAACAACTCTGGTCTGTGCTTTCCGCACAGCTCAGCGCGGGTGGCAGTCTCTACAATTGGAGTGAACAGTTGTATACTGGAAGAGGCGGACTCTTCCAATTTTGGTGGACAGGCGAAGTCGCCATCAGAATCAGCGCTACCGGGCGAAAGTCATAGGAACGATGCTTCTGGAGGCGGAACGAATAGGTTTCTGCTCGTATTGGCTGTCACTGTAAGTTGTGGATTTCACGGCTTCCTGAGGTGGTGGCAATTGTAGGTCAGACGAACCGGATCGAGTAGACATGTGGCCTATATGCCAAATTAGGCAGTTTAGATGAAAGCTTTAAATACTGGTTGTCGAGAGAACTCCAAGTACGAGGTAGAGTAGTTCGTTAGCTTAGGTCATACATTTCATTCCACTCCCAGAAGCACAATGTCAGATGAGAGCTCCAAATGGGAGTTGAGGCGAAGTACTTCGACTGGAGAGTAGAGTGCTTAGAAGCTTGTCGAGTTAACCACAATTTGTAAATATTCCTAATTTCGTGTTGTATCTACAAGCAAATTGGCGTTCCCGTTTCCGGGATCTGAATATAGTGCAGTCCTTCAGATTTTCAAGCACGAAATTTCGTTGCATCAGATGCCCACAGGAATGTAATGCATGGACTTCCCATCATAGGAACTTTGTTTCTTTTCCAGCTGTTTTGTAACATATGCCTGGTTCGAGCTGTTTTCGGGTTTACGTCGCGGTGTCAAAAGATGGAGTGCACGCTTGCTCGTCTCGATAAAATCTGTTGCGAGCACCTGGGGCAGTCGTCGGCCTATACCTTGTCTGTTCGTCAACGGTTTTCACCAGACCAACTCAGGCAAAAAGACCTCAGCGACGGGGTATTTCCAAGATGCCTTGTGAGGACGATGCAAGCAAGTACCAAATGACAATGCATCGTGGCGGAAGGGAAAGCAGGAGCAAGTACAACCAGCACCCAAGAATACGAAATCATTACGAGCACTGGCCAGGCGATCCTCGCGCTTGCGAAGACGCGTAGTCTGTACATCGTAATGCCTGAGATTCTTAACGGCTGACGCAGAGTCGTTTGCGGGGCGGGGGGTCGCGAGTGAACCTTAAACTTGTAGATCTTCTGGCTTTTGGATCTAATCGCCGAACTGGAAATGATGTCTCCCACCCCACCACCTGCCCACGCCGTGGACAAACCCCGCGCAGAAGAGTGGCACGAAAGATTAAAATCGTTCCCCAGTGCACTTCTATTATCTTCCTGCGGGTTGCTGATGGCACTCACTCATTCAGTGCGATATACGTCACTGCGATCCACCTCCTCTCTCCATATCCTGACAAGCCCGAAATCAAGGCACATTGACCGCGGTGCACTGCGCTAGTCTTCGGGCGGGAGAGGAGAATTCGTATTGATCGATCAATGTGGTCATGATACTTCAATTTTTTAGTGTAGGATACACGAAGTTTTTTTTATGTGTAATGGTGCATATGTACAACATATAATTTCAATGTTGATGAGTTTGGAACCAAAGACAATCTTTTAGATATTTATGATCATGTATGCCAGGTATCAACGCCGTGGAGCTTACAAATAACATCATTCGAAAGAGAAGTGCATGTCACAATGTTGACATTGTGCGGTGCACAATGTCAACAGATGTCATTTTGCTGCCTTTGTTGCAAAATGAGTGTCCTTGAGATTTGGTTTGTCATTGTTCTCCTTAACTGTCAATGTCTTTGTTATTATTTGGGAGTATCACGGTTGGAAAAAAGGCAAACATAGCCGGTAGCTTCCTGAAGTGAACGATGGGGCTTCGATCGGCCAGCCGATGATTGGGTTGTCTGTTGAGGAACATCTCAAGGCGCAATCCAACTGCCATGACTAACATTCGGGTAGTCATGGCAGTGACCAGTATATCACTCACTCCCCCTCTAGTTCTTTCCAGACCACATCTGACTTTGGCATGTTCTCTACAGCTCCACATTCATACGCTGTAGTGGATGTGAAGTTGTGGGCAAAGTCAAATGTTTGCTCTTGATCTCTGGGACTTATGTAGCGCATTTTTGATACTCTTCGCATATAGTTATAGCTTATAACTATATGGGATATAACCATTATATACCTATACCTTATAGGTATCCGATGAACATGAAAGGAAATTTTTTTCTTGCATTACTATGATGGTGATAAACGAAAAAATTGATTTGAGGATCTAATGTCGAAAAATGAAATAAAGAACCTTCGGTGACGTTCCCACTTGTGTAATATTCAACGTCCATGCTTCTTCATTTCTTCTCATGTGTGGTAGCAGCAGCAAGTGATAGACCATGGATGAGAAATAAAAATGATTGAACCAAATTGAAGTCGAGTATAAAAATTTGAACCGCTTAACTGGAAGCCATAACAGAGCCAGACATACTGAAGCGTATGCGTGCTTAAAATCCGTATCCTGTCCTCTCATGGTAAAATGAATTTTCAACGGTAAGACTAAATGATAAAAAAGAGATTGGATCAAATCTGAGCTGAATCTGCTCTGTCTCATCAAATCATCAGTTAAGTAAAGAGCGTTTAAGCCCTCACTCAATTATGCATAGCACTTAACATTTGGTTCATAAACAGGTAGTAAAGTTCGCATTTCTTGCAGACTCTGCAAGATCTTCTGACATACCCGGCCAGCTACTCATTGCAACCGATCTGAACGACTACGGACTATGTAGAAAAAAGAAGGCGTGTGATACCAGTATAGAAGTTGCAGTGAGGGAAGTATCACGGCTGTCCTACGTAACAATCATACTTCTGAAAACACGGCGAGAATGTTTGTGGGTCCTCCACGACGAAGGTCATATGATGCCCTACATCTTCCCTCGAAATTCTCCCTGACTAGTTGACATTCAATTCCTTCAAGACAACAGAACCTGAAGGCTTTTGCAATGTTTGGCCAAAAAGGCAAAATCTCTGACAAAACAAAGTTCTGAAAATGGGAGAAGCAGAGCCCTTCGTGAGGTCCAGAACTCTGTAGAGTCAGTGACCTGTACAAGTAAGGTGAACCTTTCTTTTCCAGGTCAGACTGTGCGGTTGTTCCTGTTTCGAACACTACAGTAACTTCCTTCACACCGCAGTCGCACGACACTCCACTTACGGTAGATGAGAGGAGCAGTGAAAAAAAGTTTTAAGAAGAAACAAGAGTCTTGTTCCGTCGCAAGGTTGGATCAAAAGCTTCGCTTGATTGGCATCCGTCCGTCATTACTTTCCTCCTCAAACAGTCAGCAAAGATCCACTTATTCTTACATGTCATCTCTAACACTAAAAGAATGTATGGCGGCCACAGTGCATGTTAGCCTCTGAAATATAAATCTTTCACTCCGATAAGAAGATACCGGAAGGAAGTAACGAAGTTTGAGTCTCTGAGTTCAAGCTTGTGATTCTGACCCTCCTTGAGGTTGTTAGAATGACAGTGTAGTGCTGACAGATTACCGAACCCCGATACACTGTACATGAATACAAATCGTTGCATATTCTCTCTCCTCCGTGTCCCTGTGACGATCGCTTCAGCTGAAATTGTAGTCAGTCAGTCGCATGCATAGCTTCACACTCCATCATTACCATGCTTCAAACTGATGAAGGGTGGTCAAGTCATATAGCAAAGAGGATGTGAACATTCCATCAAACGATGCAAGGAAGACACCCAGCGGGTAAAATGGGAATCGGGCCAAACTCTTGTTCCAAACTCGCGTCATCTTTTTCTCTCCTGTTTTGATAAATTGATTTTATTGAAACTCAATTTATCAAAACAAGAGAGAAAAATAGCCCACCATTGTAAGGACATCTGCATGTATCCCGCTTCAAATACTGTGTGCTCGAGTGGTTGATTTCCACTAGAGGAGATGTTGGACTAGAGCATAGGGAGTCCTTGGCATCCGGAGGATCTCACGACAGTTTCTCTTCTAACTCACTATGGAAAGTAAAAAGAAAGTGTAAATACATCCATTGGATCAAAACATATGGAGCTGAAACTTTCAAAACCATCCATTTAGAGGTAAGTACATGTGGAGTGAAAACTATTGAGCCATGGCACCAATGTTAGGGCGAACAAAACACCCAAAACAAACGTTCAAATTCACATGGTAAAAAAATGCACATATGTTATGGTAAACTTCTACCTCACGTTCTGTCATGTATCATGCGTGTTGAAAGGTATGATGACAAAAGTGGTTCTCCATTCGTGAAAAAGCATCACATATCCTAAAGCTATCCAATTACAGTATATGGTTCATTCTATGCATGTTGTAATTCAACATAGCTTTTATCGTAGGAGTTCAAATATTTATCTTGAAACAAAATATACTGTCTCACAAGATAATGTAAAAGTGTTTGAATCCAATCATTTAGCAATTTTCATAGGTGATAATAATTATAATTCACTAGTATGTGCTATGAAATAATTTTCTAGCTAATCAAACCATTTCATGCATAAAAAAGGAGAGAAAGAGCTTATCAAGCCTTGCATGATGAAATCAAGTGTGTGAAATGGAGCTAGGAACCAGCAGCATCAGAATAGAAAGTATGTATTATTGCAGCTCACATATTTAGATTAACTTGATCAAACTATCTACAAACATCATAACATCTAAAGAAGCATCATCTAATAAAACTGCTTTCTTATTGTACAGTAATTCATTTATCACTTCCTAAATAACATGCTAGCTTATATTTTGCTTCTTGCAACGGAGAACCACATTAGTTGTCGCAAGATCATTTTTCATCAAATGTTGTATTGCAATTTCTTAATCATATTGTGATCATCCATCGTTGTTCACACTTATATCATCATGTTTGTTAATGCAGTTTGGAATCATCATATCGAGAGTTTAAGAGAGGTAGAGTTTGGCGTTGAAGTACTTTTAAATGATTGAATTGTATTGCAAGGAAAAATGAAAATTAATTCTAATAATATATCTTTTAGAGTGCATGCATATGTAAGAGTACTGAATGACTAGATGATCTTTATTTTATTAATCTTTGAATCTGTATGATATTTGTCAAGTGCATAATTTTCTCTCTTCAATAAATATAGCTTTTCAGAAAATGCTTAAGGTGATCTACATTCTATCGATGATATTCAACAGACGGATTTTTGTTATAACTTTTATTCATCATGATACATTATAAAGATATTCTTTTTAGTCTTCTGATAGTGTTGAGTTGTGTATAAAAATTGTTCTTGTGGATCATTTAGACCAGACTCATCAGTTTTTTATTGCTAGATGTATCAATTTCAATATGTAAGTCTTACAAATTGATGTGTTATATATATACTGTAATTTTCTTATGACAATCATTTTAAATGTATGTTTCACACTAAAGAAGACTTAATTATTATTGAATCATCAAAACGGTTTGAGTATTTGATCCCAAGATTTTTTCAAAATGATTTGTTGCCCAAAAAATGCTTCAGAAAGACTACACTTTTGGCTTTCCGTTGCTCTCTTGTATCCAGTTTCAATTTTCTCTCATCATACTTGAGTTGGCTAGAACTCTATTATGAAAATTTTGCAATGAAAACAAAATTCTTTTACT